TATATTGACCCACCATGCCACAAAGGGTTAAATTAAACTTCTCGTCATTATAAATATCACGAGTACACATAAAATAGTTTTCTAGTTCCAATTTTCTAATTTCGACTATGCGTAATGTAGGCGCGCGCTGAATAGGTATGAAACTTAATATGTTTTTTTGTTTGGTAGATTTCACATTTCTATCTTGTTTTGTTGCTTTTTTGTAACCTATCAAAAGTGAACCATGACTCTACGGACGCACTGTATATTAACTCCAAATACTACATTAGGATAAGTGGTACATTAAATATTCTTCAACAGTTTAAAAATGACTGACTTCTAATTACTGTACATTCCCTAATAATGAACAATACACAAAGTTCTGCAACTGTCTGCTAATGATAGATTTGACCCTATACACATATGTAATGCATTAACTATTCATATGGACCGATTAAAACACTAAAAACTCTGAATAGAAGAAACACACGTCATAGTAAAACCTAAAATTAGCGGCATTGACTAAAATCTATACCAAACTTGCTTTGCTAATTGTATATATTCTAAAAGACTATTTTCAAACGCTTCACAAAAAGAAACATAAAAGGAAAAGATATAGTCAGAGGAAAGTTCACGGGATTTAATTTGAAACATTGTAGCCAATATGAAAAGCCATGGTGCGAACACATGCATATCCAATATCAAAAGGCTTCCAAACTGACAATTTTGACTCTTACTCTATAATACATATTTTAATTGCGAAATTAGTCAATGATTAAGGTAAAATATGAAATGAAATATTCAATTTTCTTTATGTATTATAATGATGGAAATCTAAGTAGGAAATTAAGGTTTTTCATTTGTATAAGTTCTTTTATGGGTATGAAAGTATAAAAATGTGTATATGCACAATTAAAGATGTAGATGTAGACTAATAATATTTACTTATTAAAAAGTGCTTAATTAAAGATGTAGACAGAAAACTAATAATATTTACTTATTAAAAAGTGCTTTACTGAACTTTATAATAGATCAAATCTAAATTATTAAAATCACGCATTTTATTGCAACAGTGGGAAGGGGTTAGAATTTTCACTAAATGGGGGGAAAACCCCTTATAGCTTCTTTCAAAAACTTAGCATACTCTTTACAGCTTAAATACCTAGCAGAAACAATTCTTTTGGATCTCTAATTCAGACAAATTTAAAGTGAGACTGAAAGATGAGACGGGAAAACAGGTCTCCCATTTTTTACAGGAAAGGGTTGCAACACTTCTCAACTGATATAATTCAATTTTATTAAAACTGTCCTGTAATGTTCAATTTTATTAAAACTATCTTTTTATTGCAGGTTCAAAAGATACCATATTAAATGCTAACATCTCACAAAAATAAGCAATACTATGGTAAACACTCATTGGCCTCTTTCTTCCATCATCCCGGACCACAACCATCAACTGCCTTACCTGTCAGACCCAATAAAAGTTACAGGCAAGAAATTATTTTCTTATGAAAATGTCCTTTATAATATATAAAGTTAATAAACTAGACATATTGAACGAGTAATTTTTATTTCAACAATGCTACACAATTACATACATGCTAAACTGTGTAAACTGATACACAATGAATGATGAAATAAATCACAAAATGTTACTTTAATGGCATATCAAAACAAAGTTTGGTTCACTGATACAAAAACATTTACTGATCTAAACAGTTGTCTCCATGATTTAAAAACACCTGTGAACTTCACAAATGCATCACATATTGGCATGTCACAAGTCCAACATATTGGCATGTCACAAGTCCAACGAAGGAAATTAATAAGGACCTCCACGGGGACCACCTCGACCTCCACCAGTTGAAGAAAAGCATAACTTCAGAATGTATGGGAATTTTCCATCTGCAACAATTGAAAAATAGTTATTTAGTGCTTTAATTTTACATACAGAATATAAAATTCTCCTCTAAAAACTACTGAAATCAACAAAATATAAAAATAATACCTTAACAATAATTGTTAATGTAAAATACCTGCAAATATATTTACATCATTGGAACTGCAATGTTCTTTGGCAACTAAGTAATTGCGGTTTTTTTTTAGAAAATCAAAGACAATTTTTTCATGGAACTAAATAACTTTATTCTGTAATGTATTGCCCATTTTGATCAATGACCTTTTGCTATCTTTCAGGCAGCATCATAATCCCACGTTCATAAAACTTCTGGTTTTTATTAGCAAAAAACTGAATCAGGTACGATTTGACATCATCATCATTTGTGAAAGGTCAGAACTATATGGTGGATGTGGCAAAACATCCCAACCAAGCTCCAATATTTTTTGCCTAATGACCAAAGATGTGTGCGACCTTGTATTGTCATGATAGAATACAATACCTTTCCGATTTGTCAATTCGAGCCACTTTTCTTCAACTGCATTGTTTAATTTCGTTAGTTGTTCAATGTAGACAGAATTGATCATTCGGTTGGGTGGTAAGAGATCAAAGTAGACAATTCCTTTGTAATCCCAACAAACTGATAATAAAACCTTCTTTTGATGAATATCAGCTGGTTCACCTAGCCTGCTCCACGATCTTTTCCGCTTGATATTGTTGAACAACCCAGTTTTCATCGCCAGTTATCAGTCTTTATAAATGGATTATTTTCATTACGTTTCTAGCAAATGCAGCTGTTAATGAGTGCGTTAAATGCGTTTCTTTCAGTTCGTGAGGAACCCGTTAGTTTTTAACATAGCCAGTTGTTTTAAGTGATTTTCAATGCATGTATGTAATACAGAAGCTCTGCAATCTTACGTTTGTTCTGTGATGATCCGAATCGATTATTGCTTTGATTAGGTCGATCAACTTCAACTGGACGACCAGAGCATTGTTTCATCTTGAGTGAAAAATCACCAGAACGAAATTTGCAAACAATTTGACACTGCCGTTCTTTTAAAGGCTGTCACCATACCAGCACATAACTTTTTACGAGCTTGCGATGCGTTTTTTTCCTTTGCGGAAATAAAAAAGCAAAATATGACTAAAATTCCTTTTGATTTTCCATTTTTCAAACTAAGGCCAAATGAAAACTACGCAACTGATCAAAAAAATGTTTTTTACTGATAACAGTGATTGCCACTATCAAATAACAAGATGTGTTTTACATTTGTACTACGTCTGCAACCCTAAAAATTCAACTGAAGCCATCTATGAGTGAAATCCGCAATTAATTAGTTGCCAACCCAATATTTAAAACTTATTTTACTTTCACTAAAAAGGGAGAACATACATGCAGGGAATTAAAAAACCGACTTATTCAAAGATACAGTTTCAACCATTTATAGCATGTGTCAAAAAATTCTGATGGTATGCACACGATCTCTCAACTTCATTGCAGCTATGAATTATGCTCATCTTTTAACTATCAAGAAATTGCATATTTTCCCTTTAAGACTTGGCAAGCAGTTAATAAAAATCATGTAAGATAAAATGGCAGCTTCTAGCAAGTGGTGCTCCTCAAGCTAATAAATTACATACATGCTCAAAAATCAAAATTCACACAAATACGATATTTCCTATTAAGTGTGGGTGGCACAGCTTTTTAAATCAAGTCCCCCCCCGTAAGATAAACTGAAATTTCAAGGCAGCAAAACTATTTGAATTAAAAATATTTTAACCTTACCTGGAAGAAATTAACTAAAAAGATGAATAAAAATGTGGTACATAAAAACTTCTAAAGAAAACGATACTGTGTACCATAAAATTCCATATTTTAACCAACATTAACAAGTTTTAATTGAATATAAAGTTTGTTGCAGCTTATATATATCTATTATATAAATTATCAAAGTATTTTACATTAAAATGATATAAACACAACAATGTCTCCAAAAAAATTTCCTAACACAGCTTCACAAAATGATACACGACTTCTAATGCTTTTCTTTCCAGAGAAATGGCAGCGGGCAAGTGTAGTGGTGATGTATATCCTATCCTGTCATCAACGTCTCGTTGCCTATTTATACAAGACTGCAAGTTAGCTTTCTTATCAACACAGCTTCTGATGTAAATTTAATTTCTGCTAATAAAAATGAAAAAAGACAGAATCCGATTTAAATTTTTGTGCCGCCAATGGCAGACGCATTCAGGTTTGTGGTCCAAAATTGTTATCACTAGATTTTGGTTTAAGAAGAAATTTTGTTTTATCTTGAATAATGTAACTGGATGTTCATTTGCTGCAGCCTATACATCTTAGTCTATACTTAAAAAATAATGATCATTGACGAATAAGTATTTAAGCAGCAAATGCATCAACATCCTTCCTTAGTGCCTGTTGTAACATCGTATTGTTAAAAACTGTGTATATGTAATTAATTTTTGTGTAATTGTGTGTAAATTGTAATAGCTTGTATAACGCAACATGAAAGGCCTCAAAAATCTAAGCTCCACTGGAAAAATAAGGTTACAGGAGCAAGTGGATTTACCTAAATGTTAACTGGATTCACCAGAAGCAATACTGGTGATTGTTTGTCGCGAAAAGTACCAAAACTTGATTATTTTGAAACATTATGGTCCGATACCTACGTAACTGTACGCGTTTCAGCATTTTTGAGAAATCAAAGGTATTGAAAATTTCTCAGTGAACTGGAAAAAACTATACAAGACCAGAGAAAGTAAGAGTTCTTAGTTTAACTTGGATTACAGAAAGTATTGAGAGATCACTGTGCAAGATTGAGAGTTAGTTCTAGTATCAGAAAAGTTAGTTGTACAAGTACTTTTGTGAAGAAATTTAATCATGCTATTGTCGGTTGTGTGCACTACGGACCCACTAGTATGTAACAACAATACATAACAATGCTATTGTATATTCAGACATATGCATCAAATGTTAGATTCTGGAAGCGTACAAAAAATTCATACGCCTGTTTTGTCAAATTTATTCTGTTGATTCATTAGTCTTTAGTCACCATATTATTACTTCTAACAAATGTATTTAATTTTTTCAAATGAGCATTTATATTAGCTCAACTATTTCTGCAATATGCAATTTCTTTTCTTTTTCTTCATTAAAGATTTCCAAAATTGAAGTTTCATGTTTCCAATCTTAAAATTAATTTATGAAGGTAATTGTAATTTATTTGAAATGTGTAAGCCTAATGCCACATTTAAATTGCTAAAATTTTGCTTTCACAATCTTGCACAAACAATCATAATCCCCAACCTGAAAAAATTGAAATACTGTAATTTTAAAATTTTGCATTAGTTTTAATTTTAATTCCATTCCATGTTTGGATTAAAAAAACTACTTACTATTTGCTTAAATCTTTGTTTTATTTTATATATACCACAAAATGTGGAGTATTATTAAATTTACGTGTACAGTTAATCATTGTAAAAAATTAAGATTAGCATGGGCTTTAACTCAAAAACCAAAAAACCCTTAGCACAACTACCTTATCCTTTCTTTTTAATCTGTAATACAAAGATGTTGTCTCTTTAAAATTGGAAACAACAGATTCGAAGATCTTTAACTATGAGAAAACTCCAGTACGAATAACAGTTTTAAAACTTTAAAACATCTTTCGACGGATCCCTATTTTTTAATATTGTTTACTTGCATAATAACCAAGAGAAAAGATCAAAGGTTTACGTACGTCCTTATTATGTAGTTATTTATATTTTCACTGCTATAGAAAAATTACATAAACATTTATTTTTTAGACGATTTACCTTGTAATAATTAAAAAATTTACATATAATGCAATTCTTGTGTACATTTTTTTTAAATTCATAAATTTTGTCATTTATTGGAAATGCTCACAGGAAAAGTAAGTTCCCCCCTACTACCTCAGTAAGTCCTAGACACACATTGGCTTCACAGTATAACCACCACCCCCAGAACAATGTGCAAGAGTTGATTTTTTTAAAATCATATATTACTTGTCTCTAGGATCATAATATTCAATTTCTAGAGTTTTTAGTTAAAAAAATTATAAAAATAATACAACATACGTTAAAGGGTTAAACTTGCTAGCCTATAAAATAAGTTTTTAGCATACATTTATTCTTATTATCTGACAATACCCTTCTTAGAAGGCTTTCTAAGGGAAACTACGGAAAAACCCAAAAATCTACCAGTTTATGTTATAGAAAATGTATCATCTATATTGAGGATATTGTTATTTAAACAATATCAGACAGGGAAGATGATTTACTATAGTGAGTTTAAAATTGAGATACATCATAGAGATCTTGTAACTCATCGTGCAACTCACAATACATACTAAAAACCATGAAAATTTACCAACCCATTCTAGCAAGAAATAGTGTTTAGCAGCTACAACCCATGTGGGTATCTATTCTGATAGATAGAAAATGTATCATCTTTAATGAGGATATTGCTATTTAAACAATATCAAAGAGGAAAGATGATTTACTATAGTGAGTTTAAAATTGAGGCACATCATAGAGATTTTGTAACTCATCGTGCAACTCACAATACATACTAAAAGCCATGAAAATTTACCAACCCATTCTAGCAAGCAATAGTAGTATTTAGCAGCTACAACCCACGTGGGCATCTATTCCGATAGAAAATGTATCATCTTTAATGAGGATATTGATACTTAAACAATATCAAAGAGGAAAGGTGAATTACTATAGTGAGTTTAAAATTGAGGTACATCACAGAGATCTTGTAACTCATCGTGCAACTCACACGCATCATTCAGAGTCTTTTTAAAATAATGGTAAGCATTCAATAAAGCAAAAATATGCAATAATGATCAAGTGCTAAAAACCTGTACATACTTGGATTTGGGATTGGGACATGGTTACAAAGAGCGAGACCTTCCAAAGATTCTGACACAGAATCAAATTCCAACAATCCAGATGAACTCCTTTCAGCTAGAAAAATATATTTAAAGATAAATTTTCTTGAATAACTAAAAGCACAAGTTTCCTTTTTAACTATATTAAATTAAAATATAAAACAAGACCAAATAAAATCTAAAATGTTCACTTACATTTATTTTTTGACTGAAACAGTTTCACACTGTTTGGAGACTTTGCCTCTTTTTCTTTAAACACCTAAAATAATTACAATGCATTTCAATAAAAATATGTATAAAAAGTATTTCATGTATTCCTACAACTAAAGTAATCAATATATAATAGCACAAAATTTTTTGGTACCTACATATTATTCCAGCAATCGAGAATCACCATAACATACCTACATCTATGCTTATCGAGAATGAATCAGAAAACAGATTCACTCTTGATATGCCACCTTCATTTTTATGAATAAAGAAATAAGCTGTTACTGCTGTATTTTTTATTTAGATTATTTAAAATGATTAAAAGTTTGGCACCTTCCTCCTAAGTACACTGCTGGTCACCCAAATTGCAACACCAAGAAAGACAAGAGATATCACAAAATTTATTTAGTAGATAACATGTTGACCAAGTATCAAATGATTAAATTTATAGACTTCTGTGAAGTGTGGTTCCTTCCAGAATCAGTAAGAGCCACCACCATTGTTGGAGATTACCACTGCCACATGCCTCGGACTTTGGATGTGTTCTTGGGGTACAGCAGACCAAGCAGCTTTCACACGTTGCCAAAGTTGATCTGGTGTGGCAGCTTGAGATGTAATCTGGGTCAATCGTTCAGCAACCATGGACCACGTGTTTTCTATCGACGAAAGATCCAGAGAGTGAGCCTGCCAGGAAAGCAATTCAATCTGGTGATTGATGAAGAACCCTTCGACAAAGCGTGCCACGTGTGATCGTACATTATCCTGTTAAAATACGGCTGTGGGCAAGCCCTGAAAGTAAGGAAGGACAACTGGCTCCAACACCTCGGAGATGTAGTACTGGCTGTTTAAAGTACCAGCAATGCGTACTAGAGGAGTGCGAGAGTGATATCGAATACCACCCCATACTGTAATACCCGGTGCGGACCGTGTGGTGTGCATATGCAGCTGTTCAGCATCCTCTCTCCACGGTGTCTCCAGACTCGAATTCGACCATCGTGGTATTGCAGACAGAAGCGTGACTCATCAGTAAAGACAATTTCATTCGATTCTGCCGTCCACATCCTTCTTTCATTGCACCATTGGCAGCAAAGACGTCTGTGGTTTTACGTCAAGGGTAGACGAAGCAATGGACATCTTGTGGACAGACCACTCTGCTATAAACAGTGTCGAATGATATGCACAGACACTGGATGATGCGTTACAGATTGAATGTGCTGTGCTATGGTTCGTGATGTGACTGAGCGATCCGTCAAGGCCATGTGCACAATGTTCCTGTCATCACATGAAGTGGTGCACTGAGGTGGATGCGATTGAATACGTCAGTTCGTCATACCCTCCTGCATCCAATGGTCACATATCTGCATTACAGTACCTTTTCATTCAAAAATTAGTTCAATATAAAAACAAAATCTGTGACACAATGAAAGTTTCAAAGAGAAAATTTAAGTGCCCAACTAACTGGTATATCTGAAGGCACCGAAACCATATCTGAATAATGTATCAAGACAAAAATTGTATTTACTGAGAAAATAGTAAAAATATTAACAGCCAAATGAATACTACCAATATGTAACAAATATGCACACATACAAAAAGAAGGGGAAATAAAAAAACAGTACCAGGCCTATAAAATGTGGAATGTAAATCAACCTTCATACTATCCTCTTACACATGTCAAATACTAGTAAAAACCTACAACCCAGACTATCTTTTGCCTAAAACAATGCACTGCCAAAGCAATTTTGAAGAAACTGCCATAGCCATTAAATTCTTGGTTGATTTAACATTAAGTGCTTTTCTAGTAAATTTTCTGGCAACTGCATGCTTATATATATATATATATATATATATATAAGAGATAAAACTGACCATTGTGAATGGAAAGTAACTTTATCGAATAAGGCTATCAAGGAAGCGACTGCCTTTGTAAAGGTATACAAGCATAACTGATGGCTTTTTGCCTATCAACAGGATTTCTAGAAAGTATTAGAAACATACATTAAAGACATCTAACAGTAGCCTAGCTGCTTCTTATTTAAGGACAAATCCTGCCTTATGCTTCTGCTTTATAAGTAACCCAAAGAATATTGGCATGCAGCAAGATACCTCTGTAGATACTAACAGGATGTTCTGCCTAACTGCCTGTCATACAATCACTTATCTACAATATAGTAGCTGATATGACACAGTAATGATTTATGCACTATTTTGCCTATAAACAAAGCTACACAAAGATCAAATACCAAATTTAATGCCAAATAAATAATTTTCTACACAAACCTTTTTCATTTCATCATCTGCGATACCAAATGGAGCATTGAAGAAATGAAGCATCTTTGAAGGTGGGAGAATTCTGTTTTTGCTGGCAGCTTCAGGGTTTGTAAATCTGTTATTCCTGTTGCCCATATAATCCTTGAAAGATGGAGTTCCATCAGGTAAAGTAAATGGCTGCTGAACATCATTTAAGAAAGCCTGTTTAGAGTACCTAAAAGAAAAGAAAGGAAGTCAAATTAATCACTTAACCAGTTTCATTTTTCTGCCATAGTGTGACCAAAATTTAGCATATTTTTATAAATAATTTTGCATTCTAATCAATTGCATGAATTCAAATCAGTAATCAAAACTGTTACAAAATTAAAGTATTATTACTTAATTTTCTGGCAAAACTGCAAAGAACACTTTACAGGTGATAACGGTGAAAGAAGTAAATTCGCTGTGAAAGGAAATCACAGTGGTGTAGGAAGATTACTAGTATCCATATTACAAAAATTCCAAACCTGAACTTTCAGTTTCCTCATCATCACTAAGGAATTCCATTTAAAAACTTTCAGGACTATCACAATCATTTACAGAAAATTCAGATTCACTATCTGATCCTGTATCAGAATTATATTCTGGTACGAGTCATTTACTGTCACCCATCGTTCTTTTATGACAAAATTGGGAAGAAATTTTATTCGCAAAGCCTAATACACTAAACACGTGCAAACTCGTTGAATTTCTCTACATAACGAAAAGTGACTGCCTTTGAGCTGGTTTTACAATCCAATCTCTCCTGCACCACTAGAGACACCCTTAGAAACACAGCAAAGTAAAAAATGTGGAAAAGCCAGAAAAATCAGTGGATTGGTGTAGGAAAGTGGTGTACGGGCAAATAAAAAAGTTCACTTTCACAGCACCCGAACAGTTTGGGCAACACTGTTAGGTGGTTGAGGGAAAATACGCATACATTAAGTATTTAATCTTCAGTGTTTAACTTACTACAAATTAAAATGAAACTCACCCCAACTGAAGCTTAGAATCAAAAAATATGGATCCATTGAGATTTGATATGGCCCTTTCAACAGATAATGGATCACCCATCTGGATCATTGCACAGCCTTCTTTACTTTTTAGAAACTTAATCTAAAATATATAAATAAAATGATTTTCAGAGAGCAAACATATTACATGTAAGTATAATCTTATATCTGATATTTAATTAACAAACTATTTTAACAGAAGAAAATGACTAATTTTTAGTAATTAAAAAGTCTTACTCTCACTATATTTCCAAACAAGCACAAGATATTAAAAAGCTTGTCGCAGTTCATTTTTTCATGGCTCAAACCATATGCCATCATAACAGAGCCTTGTTGATTTGGACCTGGGGGGTTCATTGGACCACCAGGACCATAACCAGGTCCTCTTGGAGAAACAGGAGGTCCATCACCACGATAAGGATCCCGTCCAAACCTTTAATTAAAAAAAAATGCAGCACAAAATCACACAGTACTGAATCACATTAGAATTATAAAATATTAAAAATAAACTACAGCAAATATGTGCAAGAAATAAATACTGTGAAGAGATAAAAATTAGGAAGTTGTGCATAAAATAAATGTACAGCGGAATTATTTTTTGCAGTTAGCAATGCCAATAAACATTTATCTTCAGTAAGGTATAAAAATTATTTTATAACTTTATATCAAAACTAATTACCTATCGGGTGGAGCAGGTCCACCATACGGATCACGAGCTGGGGGACCATATGGATCAGCTCTGGGACCCCGTGGAATGTAACCATCATCATAACCACCATCATAGGGTGGTGGTCCTCTGCCATCTAAAAAATAAGATTTTATGATTTTCAAAAATTGTTAAAATAAAAATTCAGTTAAAACCCTTGTAAAAGTAAACAAAAATCCCACAACTAAAGATAAAGGAGAAAAACCTTAAGCTTGATTTTAAATGTAAACACAAATTCACACAATGATAGTGAAACAACGTATCTGAGTACACACTCATGCAAATTACAATTTTTTAAAAAATTTTTGGTACTAATTACATACTTATAAGATAACTACACATACAATGAAGACAATAAATAACTTATTTTCCCTATCATAAATATTCTGCAATACTACTTCAAGCCTAAAAGTTTAAGTATGGAAATTATGTATTCAGTAATCTATATCACTTTATAATAGTATGTTACTTTACTTATTCTGTGATTTAATTTTTTAATTTATTCTGAAATAATAAAAGGGCTTTTATTAAAACTTAACCAAAAACTAACTAACTCTCATCTGTTTAAGAGAATAAAAATTTATCTTAAAAATTTGCAAGCCAGACGGCCTACAGATAACATCCTTTCAGGGATTTTCATTGCTTTGTTCTACAATTTTTACAATGGAAAAACAGAATTACAATCTGAACTGGGAGCCACAAGAGAGTCTTGTACGTTCAGATCCTATAAATACCACATATATCTTGAAAGTCTGATATTCATTTTTTTACAAGGTGTAGAGGTAATCAATCATCACTTTAAAAATTTAATTATAAAAATTATTCCTGAATCATGAAAATTAAAGTGCTCAGCCAGAACTCGCAGAAAACTAGCATATTCATCAATTCCCATACCATGCATTTGAATGCACACAGTCATCACTAGGTCAACTCCTAAACAAAATAGTTTGGTTTACTTTGCCTGAAAAGTGACGATTCAAAATTTGATTTTAAAATTACAGAATTTACTATAAATGAACTAAAAGTTCAGCAAGAATCCATAGCCTTTTAGTTTTATTGTGAAATATAAATCTTTCCAAACAACGATTTAGCAGTCTCGCCATTTAAGCAAAGTATATATTAGTTCATTACTATGCATTTTATTTCTTAATGTTCATATTTATTCATGAATACCAGACCTTATGGCATTTAATTCATTGGCCATCTTGCTTACCACTTCTGGACAAGACAATTAAAACTACTAAATGCAAAGCATATGCTTAAATGTTATTTGTCAATAGGTTGTCCAGATAATGGACAGAATTCTCGATTCTCATATAAAAAACTGAAGCACACACTGCACATTGGAGAGAATCCAAGATATTGAACCTCATTTTATCAGTTGCCAAGCCTTTTGTGCACTAATTTCAGGTGCAAATCTTGCTGAATTCCATATATATTTAATCTCTCAGTAAAATGAAACTTGAAAAAAATTCTGGGTTTTGGTAGTAGACTTTTTTTTTTTTTCCAAAGAAATCTACATTTTCATTTCCCTGTACTCCATAATAAGCTGGCACTGACCAGAGTGCTGAGTCTGTAAAGAGTGTTGAAAAGATGCTGGCACTTGTCTTCAGCTGCAAATTCAGTTACTGGGAAGAACTTTAAGAGGACATACCTACAGTGTAAGAAAATGGCAGGATTGGAAAAAGAGATTCCATGACAGCAAAGCTGTGAGAAGGCAATAACATTTTAATATAAAATTGTTACCTAGTTTTTAACACAAAAATAACCAACTACCATCAATTTTAAAGATTCTACCCTAAAGTAAAATTTTTGAGTTTTATTTAGAATAAGGAGCAACAGAGGACTTTAAAGATTACTTTAGCACATATACTGCTGCCTGGAACCACTACAAGCATCTAATTGGGCTTTTCTTTTACATTTCAAATAAATATAGTCTAAATGTCAACTATAACAAAACACAATACTCCTATCTTATTTTCTACAGTATCTCTTCTCCACTAAGATATAATTTCATGCCATATGAATTGGAGTTCAGCTAACATTTTACAATTTTGTAAACACTTTCATTTCAATATTAGAAAATCTTACATGATCATAGTTAAAACTGAAACAAACTACATCTATTTAAAGCCTGTGCCAATGGTTTTAAACATAATAAAAAGATGCTTATTGGTAAATTATTACTATTTTTTAATCCCAATCACATCTCCAGGTTTTCATATAAAACAACTTGTTTATATAAACAAAAGACAAAAATAAAAAATTTCTCAAATGTATTAAATTTAAAACTCTCCCACATACCATATGGAGGCGCATTACCAGCAGGCCCATAACCGCGAGGAGGTTCCTGAAGAAGAGCAGGACGATCTCCACCAGGTGTTTTCCCTAAGAATATGCATACGTATATTAGAAAATTGTTACCTACCACATAAACAAAGGAAACCTCAAAAGTATTACCGAATTTTTAAATTTCCACTGCCAAATTTTAAAGACAATATGGATATTTCAACATTCATACTCACCAATACTTCTTGGCTTAAAAGAACCTATAATAAAACATAACAAATACACTTTTATAAATATGAGGCCACCAGGCCAATCTTAAAATAATTCAGACAAGGAGCAAACCTTCCTGTCTTTGCAATTATCCCAGCAACTTAAATGGATAACGAGCCTGCATCAGTGCGGAGACAGTATCTGTCACAGAAGCTCGCTTGAAAACCCAGACGTAGAGCATAGGCCTCCGCATGTTCTCCTGTATACAAGATTCACAGGATTAGGATAAGCAGATAATCATTTTTTAATTGACTTGTATATTGTTGTTTTGTCTTGTTGTTTTGTCTTGGCCATGTCTTCTCTCTTGATCCATGTTGTAAGATTATCAGTTCATGCTCGTATTTCTTGAGTGATTTATAAAAATGTTATCTGTTGTCAAATTCATTATTTTTTTATCACAGCCACAGAATGCAACTGCGTATCCGATGTATTAAGTGCATAGTCACTATGATTAATTTCTTGTACAGCACAAAATTCAAAGCATTTGTTTTATGGGTTGCTTTTGCTCACTATTGTGGTGCAATGTGTGCATATTTCTTTCATGTAAAGCCATCACATTTATTAAATCGGTAAATATGGTCACAATTCAGCATGTTTTATCTGATGTATCAGCCACTGATTGATTTAGAATTTCTCATTTACATGACTCCTATGTAATGCAATCAAGTGTTTTTGTCTGATGTATTGACCACTTTCAGATTTATGGGAAAACCCATATAATGACAACTGACAGTGTAACATAAGCAAATCATTATAATGTCAGTGAAGAATTTGACAAATACTGGAATTGCATTTTCCATGTTGTGTGACTTTTGCCAATACATCTTTCTGGATTGGTTCCTTAATAAAAGCATGTAAATCACTCAGCAGATATACATTTAAACATTTAAAGCAGCATACTGCTAGTTTTCAGAGTTCATATACTGGATAGAATGAAAAATCTATTTTCTACACAAACTGAAAAAAAGCAAAAGAATTGAAAGCATATCTGAAGTTATTAATTTTTGAAATTAAAAATATGTGGTAGGTTCATTGGCATTCATGCACAAATACTAAATAATATCTCAATGCTGGGAATTTAAAGGCATATAAAGTCAATCATAAGATGCCTGTCCCCAACTTTTGTTAAGTTTGCTTTCTTCAGCCAAACATATCTAAATTTTATACAGCAAATACAGCCGAAGCTGCAGTATGACATTTCATTAGTTCACTTTTTACAATCAATGGAACTTTTTTTTAAATCTATCCACGTGGAGGTACGGAATATTTGGCCTGTCAACTTTCTGTCACAATTTCCAATGTACTCATATACAAATTTTAAAAGCTTTTGGCAGCAACTGTTATTAGAAATGGTATGTGACTTGGTATGTCTGTACATATACTTCTTGAAATGTTCGTGTCTGGCTTCATTTTCAATTTTTTTCTGTTAATTTTCTTTTCTATATTTCAATATCCTACAGCATGTGTTTATTTTTTCACAATATGAGTAAAATTGTCATCTGTCATCATGAAAACATTTTGTGCACTGCTATGTCAAATGTATTAAACAATAGAATTAAATAAAGGATCAAATGTGAATAAATTATGGAATGAGATTAGTATATAAAAGGTAATTATGTATTGCATGTATAATTTCAGCAAATAACAAATACATATTCATGCAAAATAAAAATGACAAATTTAAAACATTCAAAAAGTTTTTTAAAAAATCATTCACATTCCGAGATTTTATTTTTATACAGAAAAACAATTATTCAATTGTTCTATTGCAAATTTATAAAATTTAAATTATATAAAATAGCTTAAAATTTACACAATAATTATTACAATATTGCTCTCTTAAATTTAATTCTATTTAAAGCATTAACAAACTGGTTTATATATACAATGATTAAAACATACTAAAGTTTTAAAAAATATCAATAACTTAACAAGCTAAACAAAAATTTTAAAAGGCTACAAATTAATGTAAAAAACGTGCCTACTAAATTTAATTAAAACTGATAATAACAAATGTTGCATTTTATTATATTATTTATTAATCTACATTTCATGTGACATTTGAGCCTGAACTATAGCTTCTTTTAACTCTGATAAATTACACTATAAACAAAAGCTAGAAATTGCAATAATGGTTTCCAAATTGTGCATTGCTGCATATTGAATGGCTTGTAGCAAGAATGCAAAATAATCCAATCCAGGTTTCATATAAATTATGTTGAGCTCAAATGGCTTTAGAATTCAGAGCACATTTACTGCTGTTTAGAACATGTAACCGGCCAGCTCCACCTTAGCAACTAACTAATTTTCAAGGCTTTACTAGCCTTGAAAATAACTTACTAGCCAATAATAACTACAAGTTCACACATTCAAAGCCTTTTCACAGCCAAATTACATCTGAATTTACTCTGCAAGAAGGTTAAGTTATTTGAATCTGGCAAGCTACAAGGGGTGTCTGCCAAAGAGGAGGGATACTTTCATGGGGACTTTGAGGGAAATGAGCTTGTCTTCACATTAAACAAGGAAAAAAAAACATGAAAAACTATCATGCAGGCAGCCAGCTTGCTTGCCTGGATTATAACTCTCAAGTCAGGGCAAACTATCAGCATTTGGCAGTCTTTAAATGACTTGACTAATAAGGAACACACTCTTTAAGAAATCTCAGAGCTACCTTCCGATTATACACTAATAAAAGTTTTACAGTGTGAAAACTGTTCAGATATTGTTGAAAGATGAAAATGCTACACATATAGTCAAGTTTGAGCAAAGCTGCAATCTCATCATAAAAAGCAAGTATTCCCTGAATAATCAACATCAAACAAGCCACATGCAGTTCTACTTCAAAACTCCCCCCCCAAAAAAAAACTCTTCTTTTCTAATTTGCAATTCATTTATTTTATAGCTACTTAAATATACTTGACATAAACTGCTGAATTTTAAATATATATAAGTATTCCAACATTATTGGTGCATTGTAACTTCAGTAGACCTTTGCTTTGATTTTGAGTACAGAGAAACGTACTGACAGTTTTAAAGTGTTGCAAACAGAAAACATTAAATCACTAAACTGAGAACAAGAACACAAAATTTCAATAAATATAACTACATGAGAGAAATGTTACTAAAAATGAAAGATTAGACTCAAACTGCATATTTGAACTTGGAAATAGAATTGATAACATGCGTTATTTAAGCCTAGATTCATAGTTATATTAGTAATTTATATCAAACCATTTTTTAGATTTCAGTTCTAAAACAATATTTGCTAATTCACAACTCCACAAAACTGGATTTCGGAAAGTACTAAAGACTACAAAAGGATTTCTGAAGACTAAGAAAATCCATTTTACTAAGAATAATATATTAAACTTAAGTTTTTACATGTAAATAAACTACATACCTAGAGCATTATTGGTATAATCCCAACTTTCATTATCATTTTTGTAAACATTGAGTCTTGTTGGCTGAAAACACATTAAAAATTAGACAAAAATCATGTTATAATCATTTATGTTATATGCCATTAAAATTTATAAAATTAAAAATACATACCTTAGCAAATTCAATTTTCAAAGTACAGCAACCTGAATAAATGTCACAACCATTTAAGGACTGCTTTGCCCTTTCAGCAGCTTCCAAACTATCAAATTTATTTACGAGTTAAAGAAATGTTTTTTTAAACTTTTAAAAGAACAGTAATTTTTGAGAAAAGGTTTATCTTTGTGTACATTGCAATACATGGTTTACAATTCTTTGTGTACATGACAATACATGGTTATTACAAATGATCCTTTATGTTTCAAAGCTTATATTTTTCAAGCTACAAGTTGCCTTTTTTTTTTTTTTTTTCATTTGCATAGTGAAAGAAAACATTTTTTAATTCACAAGTGTAAATCATATCGTGCTGCAGAACTCAAAACATCACAAAATGAACATTATTATTACTGGATAACATGTATATTAAAAGGCAACACAATACTCACAAAACCATTCTTGTTTCACACGAACAACTGTTTCAGACAATTTTTCTGCGTGGTTTACTGAAAGAAAGACGTGCGATTTTTTGTTTCCTTTCGAAAAAAATTGTAAGTTGTTCATTTTCAACCTACCAGCTTAATTAAGATACAATAGCATGGCAAACAAACATTAATTTAGAAGTCAAACAACAAAAATCAGCATTATATTTTCAAATTTCACAGGACTAGTTTCGATGGTTTTATCAAACCATCATCCTGCATGCAAGATTTTACCTACCTAATATACAATGATGCCTGTCATCTCTGCTTGAGGAGATGAAAAACAAAACAATCTCTGCTTAAGGAGATGAAAAACAGTCATTTGCATTAAACAGAAACAGGATTCACAAAATAAAATGATCTCTAACACCATTTCACAAACACTGAGAGCCTAACTTCTAAGATCTTTCATGCTGCAATTGTGTTTCCTTTCCCCTTAAATGAAGGACTTTCAGTAAATTTCACATTCCAGATAAATGATCCATATACTTGGCACACTGAGATATATTACTACCTGAATGAAAAACTTCAGTTTAACTGGTCGACTTGGGCAATATGGCATTATTCAGATGGTCATCAATGCTTTTACACTACCAATGACGTTTTCCCCTTTATGGAGATATGTTAAGGACAATGTTTAAATGCCCTCATTATCAGCAACATTATAGGAGCTTAAGGATGGCTTTCAGATGATGTGATGGTTATCAGCAAAGAAATGTTACATTACCTGTTTGGATGTGTTGTATAGTATCGAACCCTTGTAAGTTAGGATTGATTTCTGTACGTTTTTTGCTTTTTGAAGTGCAGTATTTTACAAACAATGCATTCTGAAACCTGATGGATCATTTGTAATAATCTTACATAGCTAACATGCTAAATAGCCTAATTCATATTTACATGAAATTAAACAATTAACATACACAACCAAACACATTTTAAGTGCATCAAAACTACAAAGGATATTCAACCATGGCTTGAACGCCATTCTTCTTGAAAATGACAATTCTCAAAACCTTTCCACTAGGACTACAGATAGTATGAATCACATCCTAAAAATATAAGTAATATTTAGTTTTGCATCAAAACTTTTAATGAAAAGAAACAAAAAAACTTTTAATGAAACGAAACAAACTATGACACGCTAACTTACTGTTGTTATTGGGTATGCAGGGTTTATGACGGTTATCAGCAAAATATGATTTGGCTTTTCTTCGTATCTGCTTAACATACAAAAAATTATAACACATATTTAATACAATATTCTACAATCCTGCATAAAGAAAGAATACATTTTAAACATACAAAGAAAAAAGCATTCAATATGAAAATTTCTTACCCAGCTCTTCCACCACTTCCCCCTCCACTTCGATTATTGTAATTGTTGTAGTAATTTCCTCCTCCACCTCCAAATGATTGGTCCTAAAAAAAAGTTTTTGAAAAATTTCCTAATAATATGATAAAAATTACTTATAATTTAATAAGTCTAAATTTCCAAACCCAAACCTCCTCTTAACCTAAGCCTCCATACTGGAAACAAAGCATTTTTCTTGCTTAACACACACCGCTTGCTTATCTGCATCATCTACTTCATGTGTATGTCATCATTTCATCTATGTAGTATAGCCTCTCCAAGTATTACAATACAATAAATCATTACTAATCTATTATAGTTATCTTCAAATTTATAAGATAATTATTACTATTTTTTAGAATAGAGTGTAAATACCTAAATTAAAATGAATCAAGCAAATATTGCTAATTTAGTTTTTTTATATATATGTATAAACACATAGGCCATGTGTTTACATGTAAGCATGTTTGCTTACATGTAACTTTAAAATGCAAAGAACTTGCACATATTTAAAAAATTACCGTATTTAATCACATTTAATCAATTACCATATTTAATCAAGAAGTACCGTACTAATCATTTTATCTTTATTATTTACCCAAAAATTTTGCATGTTATATATTAACAAGAATTATATTACTACTTCTTTCAAGAATGCCAAGAATTGTAATGTACATTTAGTCAAGTACCTTCAAGAAAACGTTACTTATCCCAAAACACAAATTTATTTACTTTAAAAATAAGAGACACTACTGAGCTTATTCGCAAGTTATGATAAATCACATAAACCTTGCTACAAAAGGTTAAGAAATATGCATACTTGCCAACATATCACACTCAAAAATCAGAAGATTTTTTTAAGAAATCAGGAGATTTTTGACAACGTTAAAAAGACTTTTTAAATGATAAAAATATAGTTTTTAATAATGAATTAACTTTAAATAGTAACTAATTCTTAAATGCAAGCAACACAAAAAATACCTTACACATAAAAAACATTTTTATTACTTGCATCATTTAAGGGGAGTAAAAAACACTTTAATCAGTTTTCATACAAATGTTATAAACAGTGGCAGATTTTCCTTTCTTTAACAAACTTCATAATTTTGTTCACAGCAATTGCCACGTAGGCCTGCTTTCACTAATAAAAGTTTTTCTAATGTGTCATCACTAATATTAGATCTAAATTTAGTCCTCGTTTTCGCAACAACACTGAGAATCCTCTCAAATTACTATGGGGAACTATCAAGATGGCCAACACAATTCTAGACAGTTCACTCACTATATTTTAAAATTCTATCAGCACCTTCCAATTAAACTCTACTGGGTGTCAATCCTAGCTGATTTTATAACTTCATCCAAGTTTTCTAATTGTAAACTGCTGTTATGCAGCTGTTGGAACTGTTTCAATTTTTCCTTCCTTTTAGAACTCCTTTCAAGATAGTAATAAATATCAACAATGTGTTCATCCACATTTATTTTTAAAGAAGCTGCCCCTTTTTCAGCTGCTAAATTTAAGAAGTGACAGGTGTGCACCTCATAATCTGAATTTTCCTTTCTTAAGATGCCTGCAACACCAGTTTTCCAAGCCTACCAATACTGGTGCATTATCGACACCAAGTGCTAAGCAATTATCCAGAGGGCCTGCATTTTCTTTTAAAGTTTTAATAATTAGCTGTGCTATATTAAAACCTGTCAAATGTCCTTCTAAAGTGGGAACATAAAGTAAACTGCACTCAATTTCTGAAGACTCTGGATCAAAAAAAGAAACAATTGGATACAGTTTTGAATCGGTATTACTACTGCTTCCATCCGTAGAGAGGCAGAACGGAGCTGTTTTAATGCAATCAATATTCTAAATAAAGCTGCAACGTGATCCGATGCATTTAGTGGCAGGTTGTGCTCCAGTAAAAAGGCAGAGAACAGACATTCTGCATTAATAACTTTTTGGTTCTTTGTTTCCGAAGAAAAATTTAATTTTTCATTTTTTTTAAAACAAACTCATGTTATCCTTATGTTTTTGTGTACGCACATGTTTGAGAACATCCGCCCTTCCACCATGCGAAATCGAAAAAAATCGATACAGGCAGTACACATCGCAAATTTATTGCATTTCATTGAGGAAATAATGGAAGGAAAGTCAACTGTGTACGATTTTTGAAACGTACACAAGTATTTCAGTTTTTCCCAGACATAACAAAAGAAGATAATTTCTAAAACTATTTCCCTAAGGCACAACTGTGTACGATTTTTGAAACGTACACGAGTATTTCAGTTTTTCCCAGACATAACAAAAGAAGATAATTTCTAAAACTACTTCCCTAAGGCACATATACTCACACAACTCAGGACAAAATTAACGAAATAACTACAGAACGTCCAAATAACAACTTGCTTTGTTCTCATTGGCTAATATATGGCAGCTGACATGCGCAGTGGAGCTCGATGTCCATTGGAGAACTGGAGAATGACGTTTCTGGATATGTATAATGCAGCAGACACAAGACATACACTCACAAAGCAGAAGCTATCTGATTCGCAAGGTTTTGTTTTAGATATACAGTGGTGGCCAAAATTGTGGACACTTTTGGAAATTTTTGTTTTTGAACTTTCTATGCTTATAGAAAATGTTACATTTCGCAAAATGCAAACTTATATATATCATTTTAAAGAGAATTTATTACTGAATTCAATACAAAACACAAAATTCAATTATTTGCGATACAAAAAGACTTATATGTACTTTAATAAAAATAAAAACACAGTTATGATGTAGTTTGTAATGTCTATCTTTCCTGGCCAATCACTGTTCTTGTTCTGAGAACAAATCAAATGTTAGTAACTGCAAGTAGAAGCTGACATCATGTTTACACTTGAAACAATTCATTATTTTGCTTTGTTCTGTAGAAGGAGGACCTGTTTCTTATACACTGCAATTACAGGTAGAAATTTTTGTAAAAATGTTTAATAATTAGTCAAGAAGCAATGACATAAAATATAAGATTAGATTGGACACCTAGAAAGAGATGTAATATTATTGTGTTACGAGAAAGTGGTCTTTCCTATGCTGAAATTGCAAGACAGGTGGGTGGTTCAGTGACTACATCTGGAGTCCGAGAGTTTTGTTTACGATATCAGGAGACAAATTCAATAAAAAACAAAGAAGGAAAAGGCCAAAAAAGGTACACCACATCTATTGATGACAGAAGAATAAAAAGACTATGTCTCCAAGATAGAAAAAGTCATCAGCGGCCATCAGGAGTGATCTGAATGATGCTGGTGTTTCTGTCAGTTCAAGAACAATCAGAAGATTAACAGATGTTGGACTGAGAGTTAGAATTCCACGAAAAAAGCCTTATCTTAATTTTCCGCAACGAAAAAAAAGACTACAGTGGGCAAAGGAATACATTAATTGGACAGATGATCAGTGGTCACAAGTTATATGGAGTGATGAAACTAAGATATCGTTATTCGGTAGCGATGGGCGAAAATATGTAAGACGTAGAATAGGAGAAGAGCTACATTCTGACTGCATTCAAGCAACTGTGAAGAACCCAGTTAGTGCTATGATTTGGTCATGCATGTCAGCAGATGGTATTGGTCGCCTTCATGTCATCGATGGGACACTGAATGCCAGAAAATACATTGACACTATTCTAGAACCAAAACTTCTACCTTCCATCAGAGATAGCTTTTCCAACAATGCTTCATTTATTTTTCAGCAGTATTCTGCTCCTTGCCACATGGCCAAAATATCAAAAGAGTGGTTTCGTACAAAGAGCATTAAATTGTTGTCATGGCCAGGAAACAGTCCTGACCTCAATCCTATTGAAAATTTGTGGCACCGTTTGAAAACTCTTATCCGAATGAAACGCCCAACAAATAAAAGGGAACTAATTGAGGCTATAATCGTTTCCTGGCATCATGTAATAACGAAAGAAGAGCTTAAAACTCTTCTCAGCTCAATGAAACATTGATTTGAAGCTGTAATAAAAAATAAAGGGTACCCTACTAAGTACTGATAACTCGTTGCAATCATCACTATTTAATGTATATCGATAAATATTATCGTTTGACTTTTTTGTATTGCAAATAATTGAATTTTGTGTTTTGTATTGAATTCAGTAATAAATTCTCTTTAAAATGATATATACAAGTTTGCATTTTGTGAAACATAACCTTTTCTATAAGCATACAAAGTTCAAAAACAAAAATTTCCAAAAGTGTCCACAATTTTGGCCACCACTGTAAATATTTTTTTGAAAACATTGAACTAATATAATGTTTGAGATTATACCTATTATGAAAAAGTATAATCAATTTGACACTTACTAATTTTTATGTATACTGTTGCACTAAATATATTTTAAAATTTACAAGAGCTGCGCTTTGTCTAAACAGTTTTCTGCCAAATTGGTATTCACAAAAAGGATTAAGAGCCATGGGTCAAAACTACGGTATCTCTCCTGCTGCTTAGAGGCGTATACACACCTCGCCTTTTCAGTTGCAGGCCCGGCGCCGCGAAGGATTGGACGTCTTACTTTTTTAAAATCGCCACTACTCCCCGACTATGCCAAACTGCCATCTTTAACTGAAGTTCAAATGAAAAATGGCATTCTTTGCATTGTTATCAATCTGTTCCTTTAAAAATCACATCATGGCCGCTTAATTTCTGCCTTGAATTATTTTCTTGCGTTTTCACAACTTTACTACATTCTGATTTAGCGCCGTATGCCCATGAGCCTTTTAATTTCTAGAAGCTTTCCACTCTGTTTTTGCGTTTGTGTTTTATTAACGTTATAAAAATATAAAATGCAAAAAAAATTATAAAAACCCCCAAAAAAATCTATAAAAAAATCAAAACTTTTGACTTTATGATTTTAAGACGGGTAGATTCCGAATGAACAACAAAATTAACAACGAAGGAATACAGCAGGGGCGTCCAAAGCGCGGATCAGTGCGAGACAAGAGAACAGCCAGAGAAATGTCAAGACGTCACTCCAAGAATATATTTAGTCTTTGCAATCGTGATTCAAGATGGACGGACCGGCTTCCATACCCTTCGAAC